TTTGTTTTTGTTTTCTGTTTGCATTTCCTTTTTGGCCACGTTGTATTGTTGCTATTAATTGTTATAAATATAGGTAAAGAGGTTTTCTGGGCATTAGCTGGAAGCTTTTGACAAATTTGGACATCTGTGGTGGTTGAGTGGTGGTTCTTGACACATTGGTCAGTCCCAACAATTAAAAATCTGTGATCTGTTCTCAAAATTTTGGCAATTTTTACTTTCTTCAATCATATTATCCAGTGTATGATTATTAATTTTGTGCACATACAATATATTTTTTCTTTTCTATTTTGCATTATAGTGGAATCTTTTAAAAGATCTTTTAAGTGACAATTATGATGTGAATTTAAATTTACCAACTACCACTCCAAATAACTCCACAGAAGTAACAGACTGAAGAACTAATGCTCACCCACCCCTGCATCCTATTAATTTCCCAAATGTATAGGCAGTAACAACCATCTGAGTACATGCCACCCACTTATTCCTTACCTCTGCATTCTCAACTCTGGCTGCAGGTTGGAGTCAGCTGGGGAACTTAAAAAATCCCACATTCTCAGGCTGTGTCCCAGACTAATTAAGTTAGTAGCCTGGTATCAATATTTTTAAAGTTCTCCAGGTGATTTCAATGTGCAGTGGAGGTTGAGAACCACCATTTCATTAGTAGTTGATGAGTTTCTTTTGACACATGTAAGATGTATCTTCATTGCAGAGATATTAAAGCGTGAAAAACAAAAATCAAAAAGTAACTCTTGCATCTGAGAAATAAGAAAATAAGGTATTATTGTTATGGTTATTATTAATCTAGCCCCAGGAAGATTCAGAACTTGAAAAATATCGTATTGAGTCAGATTCATTTTGCGGAAGAACGATGTTCCTTAGTTGTCTTCTTTTACTGCATCTTTGAAAGGTTCCACTAGTAATATGCCCCAGGGGTTATTAACTTTTCTTCAGTTACTCCCAAACACCTGCAAGAGGCTTAAGGATGAAGCTTCTTAAAGAAGCAGGTGTGAAATACATTTGAATATCTTGTAACTGAGTCTGCCCCTGTGTACTTTTCTCTCTTGTTTCCTTTGGGCCCCTAATTTGACATCCCCATTGCCTGTGGACTGGCCATCAGTGCTTCATATGATCCACTGAGATTCTCCCTCTATCCATCCCCAAGGCATGGAGAACAGATGCTCAGATTTTCTTAACATCAAGTATGCCCTTAGCTTGATGGGCAACTAGCTTACACATAGTGTATGTATTATAGGTGGTAACTGCACTACATCTTAATTCTTGGTCTTAGTTGAAATCTTGAAGACATGGAATTTAATAGTGACATGAAGTTTTGTCTGATCCTCAGAAGTTTCTAAGATTAACTAATTTCTTTCTGATAGATATTTGTAATATTTTATGAGGGTATATCAGGACTGAGTACAACACTATACCTAGATAGTTAAAGTTTGCATATTCTGCAATGCCTCTGGTATTGCCAACTATGAAACCCACCCCTTGTGAAGCTGCGATTAACCCTCAACTGCTCATCATTTTAAGCCTGCCCAACTGATAAGACTGGAGACTTATTTCTTCACATCTGATAGGCACACAGCCCACCAGGCAATTAGGAAAATATATTGAGTGGTCTTCTCACAGATCACATGTGGAAATAGGAATTACAGAAGGAACCATTAGGGTCCTCATTTACCTCAGATGACTATTTCGTTATAAACTCATTAACTACAGGATTGAAAACACAGTTCGGAAACAGAATGCACAGTAATTCATATTTAACACCTCAATCATTTCTTAAAAGTAGTTTGTTAAATGTCAGCATAACAATAAATCAATATATTCAATAAATCTATAGTATTAGAAGAGGGTTTAGACAGAATAAAAATGGTCCCAGTTAATTAAAGAAGAAAACGGTGATGATATATAGGCAGAGATAACAAAGTAGGGTTTACAATATAAACTATAAGTTGGACAGGAGTTTTAGAAAACTGATAAGCCAATGGCATAAAGTAATTTACAGAGACTTCAGCTTCCCTGAGAAAGATCAGATGAATATTTGCGTTCTCTTCTGGTATCTTAAAATTTTAAATATTTTATGTTTAACATCTTGACATCTGGAAAGTGATATGATTAAGAATATAGTTTGCTTTCCAAATAGTTAACCAATTTTCAAACATTTTTCAACATTTTTGAGTAATTTTATTTCCTCTTTTGTGAGTCTCTGTTCAACATCTATTGAAATCTCTATTTCTGAGTTATCTTGTAGCTGATTTTAGTAATACTACACCATTTTGATTATTGTGGCTTTGCAATAGATTTTAATGTGTCATATAAGTCAACTTATTGTTTTTTCTCAGAATTTCCTTGCCTATATTCTTCCATTAATTTTTTCAGAAGGATTTAATAAACATTTTGTCAATTTCAAAAAAAAAAAAAAAAAAAGGTATTGTCTACCAAGAAGACGACAGTAAGAATCATTATGGACACTGAAATGGGATCTCAGTAATAAAAAAGGGAGGGAATGGACCTGTGGCATCATTAACAGATTGCACAAAAACGGATAATACCTAACACTTCATATCACTCATTAGGGTCTGTTCTGTTCCGAGTGTTTTACATATATTATTTGATTTAATCCTCAAAACAATGCTATTTTTATCTCCACTTTAGAGATGTGGAAACTGTGGGTGAATTTTCATTGCTTGCTCCAGGGCACACAGTTGGCACACCTTGAAGCCAGGACCAGAATTCATTCACTGTCAGATACTGTGCTCTCAGCCACTCTACTATTACTCTCAGTGTTGTGTGACAATGCGGAGTGTACAGGCTACTTAATAATTAATACTTACATTTAACATGTCTTTCGTCTCTATTGCACAAAGCACTTCTACATGCTTAATATCACTGTGTGTCCCTTTCTTTGTGCAGAACATGTGCAAATGCATATTGAACATATTGTCCTCATTAGAGAATTTTAGCCAGGGTTGAGAACCATTGATTTATATTTTTATGAAGTGTCTCTCATCGAGGTGATTTCTTGTGATTATACGCATTAAAAATCATGGCCAACTCAAAAGATGGTTTGATTGTCAGCTGTTATCAGGTAACTGAAATTTAATGTGCAACCATGCTTATTGATGAAATTATCTTTTTATCTTCATTAATTTTAGAGAATTTTAGAAAAAATATTGGAGGAAAAAAAAGCAAGATTACCAACCAAAATATTAATCCTTTTAGACTTCATGGTGAATGTTTATTTTTGCCTGGTGGGAGAAGGAAAAAAGATGTGAACAAGATTTACAACCACTGGGGGTCTTAAGAAGTATTTTGAATTGCTTCCTTAATGGTAGCCAGGTTTTGACTCTCTCTACCATGACAGCCCTCAAGAAAGGGCAGGTGCAAGTCCATGACAGGAAGGCTTAGAAGGAAGTGTAGATGAGATCTTCACCATTCAGGAAGAGTGAGCAAGCCAAAGCCCTTCTACTGATTGAGGGAAGGTGGGAAGGGAAAGAAAAGGTAGGGTCGAGAGGTCAGCAATTCTGCCTTGGGCTTAGCCACAGATCACAGGTAAGGTAAAATAGGTACAGACTCCTAGGTACAGTGTGAGGGAGGCTGTAAGGAGAGTCCTGGTCATGTCCAACATGACCTTTTTAAAGTAGACAATTCAGTGATTTTTAGTATATTCACTAGGTCATGCAATCATCACCATTATTTAATTCTGTTATAGCTAATTCTGTACCTGCAAGTTTTCTCCACGGCTGTGGCAAAGTGGAGCAGATAATAAATTCAAAGGATCAGACTGATGTTTCTGTGTGTTTAATTAGGTGTTTCCATTGTTTACTTTTATTCAGTACCCCAAATTCTGTGTGTATCCAAAAAGCTGGTTCTTCAGACAAAGACAAGAGTTAGGTAGATTCAGTTATGCGTGACGTCCCTAAACACCAGTCTTGGTGGAAGTAGCTGGTACATATATTTGAAGAGTATATACAGGTGTCTTTAACATGCTCATATAAATGATACGGTAGTGTGATCCAAGAACTTCTTTGTTTAATTACTACAGTTCCCCTGATTCGTAAGCAGAGGTCTTGATTCAACAGTAAGCCTTCCTTTCTTACCAGTGAGTTGAATAGATGGGCAAAAGATTGATGTATGCATTAGAGGCAGAAAAAAGAATCTCATTTCTGGAAAATGGGATGATTTCTTGTAAATAACTTAATCACTTCTATGAGGAAATAGCAGGGATCAGAAGTTCCATGAACCTTAGTACCATGAAAAGAATAAAAAATGGCTAAAGTGTTCTATTAGGGAGTGAACAGAAGAGGAAAAAACAAACAAACAAACAAAAAACAAGAAGAAAGATGGGACCAATAGAGAAAGAAGAAAAAAGCTTCAGTATAGCAGAATGAGCAGAAACCTGAAGAGATGCAGAGCAGCAGCTGCTACCAACCCTCCAATGTTTCACTTTGAGATTATAACTTTGAACGTGGATGTTTTTCTTTTAATCAAAATCAAAGGCAGTTTATTTTAAAAGACTATTCACAGTGTAAAGGTGATCAGTAATGTTGTAATTATTTAAAGACAATTGTATGGTTTAGCTATACAAATGTACAAAACATAATTGTATTATTTAGCCAATATGAACATTCAAAGAAATGTTGAAGGAACCAGGTTGAAACAGTCAGTGATATCATATTTTGCGGTACAAGTTTGTGGCGTCTTGAGGAGCAGGTTTGTTAAAGTAAATCCTCAATGTTTGGAGGCAGACTCCAAAAGCACCCAACCTACAAATGTTTCATGCTAAGTTAAGACTGAGGAGTTAAGTACACCAGGAGACAGTTCCAGTGCTCTGGAGGATATCTGGTGAAGAACTCGTGCTTTCCAGAGCTCTAGGGGATATCTGTGTATTTCCAATTACACTTTACTAAAGAAATATTGCTCTGACAAAGGTAAATTGTCATCCCAAACAGGCAAAAATGTCTAAAGAAATTCTAAAGAGACATATGATGTTCTCTCATAAAAACTATTTATTGGCACACCAGAAATATCATTTTCTTTTCTAGTACAGTAGCTGTAAGCATCTCTATTTGTAATTCTGTGTAAACTACATGTTACAAGTCACTAGAAATCTAATTAGCAGGATGAATTTAATAAAGAACAGGAGTAACTATGAGTCTACAGCAGCCCAGCCATCGAGTCTCATTGGAGAGTAAATCAAATATCAACCTAGTGTTGCCCTGCAACAGAGTTCTTCTACAGTCGAGAAAAACCAAGATGAACATCAACAGGATAGCACCCATTCAATAAATTAGGTACACGTAACTAGAAAATAATCTAAATCAAGTAAGCACAAAAGTAAATAATTAGCTATTTACATATATCACTTTTTGCCCAAACTTTCATTTGTTAGCTTTCCCATCCTACATCTTCCCTTCTATTTGTAATTCTTGGTTTTTTTTTCCTAGTGAATTTCTTGACTCGCTGGCAAATACTTAGATAACCAGAACTTCTTTTCAGACACTACATTTTCTAAAATTTCATGTCAAACTAAAGAAACTGAAGGGTAACTCATGTAAGTCTATCTCTATAGAGAAGTAATAAACATTATTATTCTCTTCTCAGTCTTAGCAATGACATACAGTTCCATTTCCGCCCCCAACATTATTTGAAGTGCTCCAGAAGGTTAGTTTGTAAATGGCAGCTGAGTAGATGGATTTCTCATTTGTAACAGGCACAGAGAGTATACATGGAGACAGGTGTGTTTATCCTGAGAATGTGAATGCTGTGGACTGCAACTTAAGATCTCCCGTTACTGACGATGGGTCCTCTTCCTTCTGGCCACTATCTTTTTTTTCACATTTATTTTTAAGGCTTAGTATCATGGCAGCATTAACAAATAAGAATGCTGACATCATTTCTACCAAAGAAGGGCTCTGTGATGGATGGAAGCAGTTACCAGAATTAAAACAGCACGGTTGAAAAGGCATCGAGTTGGTATGTTTCTGGTGCTATGGCCAGAATATGTGGATTTTTAGCATCATTCTACGAGATTTAAAAGATCTTGCCAATGAGCCTCTTTGCCCCGTGTTTATTTCCTTTCTAGTTACAACAATTTGTAATTATTTTATTTTTGTTTGTTCTCCCAGAATATAAGCTCCAGGAGGGCGGAAACCACACCTGTGTATTCACCGCTGTTTCTCCAGTATCTAGAACAGTGCCTGCTCCATAGTAGGCTCTTAGTTAAAAACTTGGATTAAGTAAGTGAACCAAATTGTTAAGTCCCCTGGTCTGCCTATGTCTAGAGATTTTCCAGTTTCACTGAGTGACCAGAGTTCCTGGTCCGCCCTAATGATCCTACCCACTGTGAACTTTTGGGGTAGCTGTATAGCTGATACTTTTGTGCTTTGATGGATAGTTAAAACTTTTCAATGCTACATTCACTCTGCCTGCCTCCCAAAGATTAGTTATGCAGAGTTATTAACACTGCATGGGAGGAAACAGGGCAAGAACATTCTAGGAGGTAAACTGCAAGCTCCAAATTCAGCTCATTCTTTCCTTCCTCTCCCTACAACCTCTTTGACAGGAAGCTCAAGAAAAAAGCTATCAGGAGAATTTCCTCTTGACAGTGCCATTTCAGTAAGTCACCAATAACATGATCAGAAAAGAACAAAATATAATTCACCCACATAAAAAATTAAGTTAAATATAAGTAAAATCTGGGAGTGGAAATAGTGGCATGGTGGGCTGTCTAGGTCTTCTGTTGGTTGGAATTGCTGAACTTGGAAGCAAACGCAGGCATTACAGCAGTAGAGAGGTTGGACGAAAAAGGAGTGGAGCTGTGGAGTGTAAAGACTGTAGAGGACCAGCTTTTCTCTCCTCCTTCTTCCTCTCCTTCCAGCTCTCTGGTGTCTCTCCACTCTCTGGCTGAGCTCCTTGCTGTTGCTCTTCAGGTGGAGGTCAGACTAGGCAGCTGGCGCCTCCACCGCATGTCCTTAGGCAATTGATGCTCTGCTGGAGTAGAAGTCAGGGACTGGGAGCCCGGTGTGAAGTGTGACCTGTGGGGAGAGACTGTGAGTCCTGGAGGCACCCTAGAAAACGCCCCCTGCATCCTCCTCCCCAGGGCACGGTGGGTATGTTCCTACTTTAAAAGGAGGTCTGCTCACTTTAACATCTATCTATTCTAGAAGACATTAAAGGGAAGTCTAGTAGAATTCAGCCTGTGCTAAGAACCTGACCACCATGGTGGGCTCCCAAATCCTGGAGATAATATAGTTCTTATCCACCTGCCTTTTTTAAGATTCTGGAGGAGACTGTATTCCTTATGACTGCAGACTCAGGCATTGATCTACAGGTAGCAAAGCCTACTGGCCATATCGTAGTGATCGCTGCCAAATCCATAGTTAGAGAAGAGATGAGCAGACAACCTTTCCTTTATTACTTGTCCACTCATTATTCCAATTAGGATAAACCTTTCATTTTGAGATTGCATAGATGATTGCCAGCTATGAAGAAACATGGGCACTTATCCTATTTCACTGATTTGTCTGACCTCAGTGGACAAGGCTGGAACCGTGAAATCACTGTCATCTCTCCCTTTCTTCCCCAGCCCATCTTTATCTAAAGATACTCAGAACAATTGAAAATGTGGAAAACTTTGAATGAGCTTTTTCTAAGATTCACTTGTAGAGTAATTTATGGTTTTCTTTCCTTCAATGTGAGGGCTAAACCTGATAGACTAGATTTCAGCCTCCCAGAAAACCCCAACTAGTTGCAGGAAGAGAGGAGAGCAGAAGTCACTGGGTTGATTACTGTACATACTGATTCTCAAGCCTTAATTAACTTAATTGCTGAATGAGGTTCACAGCTGACCGTGCAAGTTCCCGCTCAAGAGAAAAATGAAAGCAGTGGCTGGCAGGGCACACCCTTCCCCACATGGCTCTGATCTTCTTTCCCACTGCCCCCCACCGCCATGGCTCAGCCTTTTGGTCCTTCCGTGCCCATGTAAGGCCCTTCATGGCTTAGAAGCTTTGCCCTGGCTGTTCCTTCTGCCTGGAAAGTTCCACACAGCTCACTTCCTCACCGCCTTCAAGGCTCAGCTCACCGGTGACTACATTAAGGCCCACCCACACTGACCACCCAGTGCTCTCCCAACCCCAGCATTCTTGATGCCCATATCCTCCTCCTGGTCCTTCCTTTATTGCACGATTACCTTCTAACACACTATATAATTAAAGTGGCAATTGTGCTTCTTATTTGCTGTCTGTCTCGTACAACCAGAATATGAGCTCTATAAGGGCGAGATTTTTACTTGTTTTGCTTTTGCTGATAAACAACAATACTTATAACAGTGGCTTACATATTAAAGGCACTCAATAGATAATTGTTGAATGAATGGTTAAGAAGAACCTGTTGTTTTCTATTCACAGTAAATCATAAGTAACTAACTTTCAGGCAGGAACTGTGTTTTCCATCCCTGTAGAACCAAATAAGAGTGCAGAGAAGACGCTCAAAATTTCTGATACTTCAGTCCTACACCTCCAGCCCGTTTGCCCTGCCCCGCCCCGCCCCTTCAGGCACTCATGGAACTTTGCACAAGTCTTTTGTTTTTATGCCAGCTGGTTTAAGAGTTCCATTTCTACTAGAGATAGAATCGGGGCTCAGAGGGACGATCGTTAGCGAACCACGAATATGATTCCAATTTCCCACTTGCTATTAACTAGACTGTGACCAAGTAAGTATAAGGAAGGGGCTCAGGCTGGTTTGGAATCATGTCAGTTGTCAACGCTGACCCCTCTCCCGCCTCCTATCCTGCATGTCTAACACGGTTGGCTTCCCTCTTCCAGGGATGGATTTATTTACCTGCCAGGAGCAGCCTCTGAGCCCCAGCCAGCAGAAACCTCTTCAGGGGCACGGCGCTTACCTGCACATTCCTGTTCAGGCTGACTGCCGGGAAGAACAGGCCCTCCACATTTTCGAACGCTATGGGCCCTTGCTGCTCATCGTTGATAAAAAATGTCAAAGTTTTTCTATTTAAGTCGAGGAGGACCCCTATTGTGGCCCCTTTTGTGATCCCTCCCTCAGTTCTGTGGGAAAAGAAAACAATTAGGTTTCACTTGTCTGTCGTCCTTCTAGAAGCTTCCCTTTTGTATGGTTAAACCAGTGTTTCTCAACCTGTTTAAAAGCATCATCCCCCAATCCCAGGAGCCTTTTAAAACATATTTTTTCCTAATCTCTCCTCCTCATGTAAAATTTTAATACCACAGATATACTCTGTATCTGTTTATGTGCTGTATGTATATCTGTTCTTTATATATAAGAAAGGTAAGATTTTTTTTTTTTTTTTTTGCTCACTCTCCAAAACAAATTTCACTCCCTTGGGGGAAGTGTCAGCCCGAATTGAGAATATATAGGTTCAACCACGCTGCTGTGCTATTGCTGAGAGGGAATTCATTCATACAGAGTCTCTACCACTGAGACACAGCTCAGAAAACAAAACATTACAGACCAGGAAATGGGCTGTCAGAGTTCTGTCCAGAGTTATGTCATACCCCTCACACAAAAGGTGTGAATTAAATATCATTTAATACAAAATGATTTAACTTAAAAATCAAAATAAATAAGCACTTCAGCTGAACCTAAAACATATGCATGAAAAATCGGATTTGGGGGTTTATGCTACCCATTAAATAGAGACACTCATTCCAGAAAGATGGTAATTTTTGACATATTGAGTTTGAATTGGGAAATTGAAGGCTCTCTATAAAATGACATCATTGAAGAAGAGGATTCTCCTTTATAAAGTAATTATGCTGTAGGAGATGGAGTGATTTTTAAAGAACCTACATTCAAATGTCATTTTACAATGAATTATGCCTTATGCTTTAGTTGATGGTTTCACAAAAGCTATTAAGCATGATAATCAGATTTGTCTTTTTTCTCCTCTTCGTGATCTAGTAATATTGAATTTCATCCTCATCTCAGCAGAGCGCAGAAATTTAAGAGTGTTGTTCTGTTCCCCTGGCGTGCAGAATACAGACTGTACATAGCTGTTAAAAAATAGGTTTATAAATTGCATCTTGTTAATTCACAGCTTCAATGACAGCACAAGTGACATGCAGTTTGCATGCAAGCAGACACGTTCAGATTTAAGAATGTGTTTCTTTTCATAGTGTGACAGTTTTGTTATTATCCACTCCATCACTCCAAAATAAAGAAGCTAAAAGGGAAAAGATACATGGTACATTGGTGATGGCATCGGAGATCTAGTGATGGAGGGTTCCCCAAAAATGTAAATCACTGAAGATAATGGCTTATCTACATCTAGTAGGATTGATATCAGGCTTAAATGGTGTGTGTGTTCACTTAGAGTGATAGTGAATAATACACACCAAAATGGAAGTATATAAAAAATATCCAAGGGAATGGAAAGTGGAGGACCTAGGAGTCCTAATGGCTGGAGAAGGGGCAGCGATGAGCATATAGAAAAAGCTGAGACAGTTGAATTCACTATTTTACCACTGCCTGACTCACTTTCCTTTGATTTGGCTGAATAAAACTGAATTTTTTTCAGAGACACCGATGAGAATGTACCCTAAGGAAATCTTCGAGAATAAGAAGGACCAGTGTCCATGAAAGACACTTATCTATCTAAGAAGTTTGTGAAAAATACATTTGAGGTAGAAAACCAAATGAAAAAAGGAAGTCTAAGGAAAATATTACAGTATGGGTTAAATTACAATTGCCTATATTTTGGTGTTAGAGAAAAACCTAAGGAGATTACTGTTCTCTTTCCCCAGTCAACTGAATCCATACAATCATAAGACAGCTCTTCAAGTACGAAGCTATCCAAATTGGCACCCATAAGATTTAGTCTATTAAATGGCTTCTATTCTGAGCAGTGGTATTGATAATAATCACCATAATAATAACAATGGCTTCTATTTTTAGGTGCCTCTGCTGTGAGGCATTTTTGCATATCCCATTTAATCTTGTGAATACTCCTGCATAGGAAAATATTATTATCCTAATTTGGTGGATTTGAAAATCCAGGTTTAGGAAAACTCAATAACTTGTCCAAAAGTGCTTTTCTGATGAGTTATAGGACTGGATTTTAAATCCTGGAATGTTTTCCTATCATAGATACACATGGCGATTCTTAGTTTCCAGCCATGGGTGGAATATAGCAATGAATAGCCTAGGAAAGTGCTCACGTCTCTGTCATCATGCAAAACAAACAAACAACAAACAAACAAACCAAAAAACCAAACAAAACAAAAAAACAAAGCAACAACCCCCCCTGCAAATAAAAAAAAACCCCAACCAAATAAACGAACAAAAAAACCCCTACTAAGATGGACTCAGTTAAGACTAGTAGACATCTGTGCTACTAAGTGAAGACCGCCTGCCTGACTTCCTTAATGTTGTCTATTTGATAGGTCTTTAAACTTGGGCTCTCATTTTTGACCAGAAGCCAACTTGAAGAAGGCTCGGTTTGGGGGCTGCAGGGTACCTGTTGGTGTGCGAGTTGTTGTGCATGAACCAGCTCCGGTTATTGTCCACGTACATTGCCCAAGCTTTGTCGTCCTTTCCTAACATCACATCCTTCATCACATCCATGCGAGCCACGCCAAAAGCAGGGTCGGGGTGGTTGTCATAGCGATCCACAGTTAATTCCCAGTAGTGGACACCCTTGGAGAAGCCGGTCTTCCCCAGCACCACCCGGTCATCATAGCTACTGCAGGTCACAGTCAGGTTGTCATTGGAGAAGATGATGTCAGAGTGTGCCGAGCCAGGGTCAAAAGCAAACCAGGCCACTGGGAACAAGAGAAGGGAGTGGGTTACTAAGACGGACCCAATGAACTCAACACCATAAGAGGCTCCTGGGTGGGGGAGGAGTGTTGTGTCCTGTTTTCATGCTGCCATGCAGGAAGGAAGTGTTGAGGGCCAGAAGGGGCTGTGAGTGTACAGACAGGGGCCACGTCCTGGGAGTTGGTACTCTCTGCGCCCAGAAGCAGATGGAGGACACACGACCGATTCAGCAGGGGTTACCTGGCTCAGACTGCACTCCCAACCGGAGGATCCGGGAGTGAAGTGGCATCGATTTTGGAAAGTGCAAGTCCCTTCACCCGGTGACTGGCAGAACAGTACACCAGAGACATAAAGGAAGAAGGATGTGCTTAAGATGCTTGTGTAACTCTGGGGAGAGGAGGCTAGGATCTAGAGTCCTAGACGGAGGAGGGATAAAACACACTGTGAAACCAGAAAATATCCCTCAGCAGGATGCTAAAATCTAGTCGTTGTGACAATGTCCTCACTGTTAGTGAAAGCTCAAAAGCCATAAAGCTATCAGCAACATAAACGAATTTTCATGAGTGATCGTTGACTTGGACATAAGACAGGTTGCTTCGTAACTTGAAAATACAGTTTGTATGTTACTCCTAACACTAACATGTAAAATATTTTGCTAGCACAGTCAGTATTTTGGACATTAGGTGTAGAGAGAATGATGTCTTTGTATACATTGTTATGCCCCGAATTCTAAATGCTGCCTACAATAACACGCTCTGGAAAGATGTCACTGCCGATTTATTGAAACTGTGAGCCACCTCATGTGCATATAGGCCTTTGCTATTTGTAACAGAATAAGGTTATTCCATACCTGCCAACAGCTTTTTAATGTCAACTGTTGTCATTCCAAGTGAAAGGCATGGGAGAGAGAAATGGGAAGCAAAATTGACATTGATAAGAAAACAGCTCTTTTGATAGGCTAATATCAAAAAACGAGTTTAATTTAAAACACTACAAACACTACAACAGATAGTCTGACTGTACCTTCACCACATTTAGCGCTCATAAAGAGTGCTTTGCATTGACATATAAGAAAACTGGGAGGAAAGTAATCTTGAAGTATAAAATTTAAAAATACAGGTATCTCTTTGATTTTTCTAAGTATTCAAGAAGTTGTTATAATGAGATTTGAATGACAATTAGACAATTTTATTGACATAAAATAAGCTACTTCCATTTTATTTTGTGAAGGAAATTAGTGAGCATACCAATCACATAAGTAAAAGATAACAATTACAATAGGTATACTTGCCTAATTGAGAGTAAGGTGCAGATTGTGTCTCAAAATTGCATCCTATAAAGAGATACTACACATCAAAGCTATGAAACAACAACCAGGTTGATAAAAATTATTTGTATACACTTAAAAGCACCAGCTGAACAGAGTCACCAGAGGCCTGATTCATGAAAAACCAAAGCCCTTCCTATGTTAGTTTACTTTGCTGGGTAAAAATTGTTTCTCTGCCTTTTGAAATGAAAAGTATATCTTTTTTTCTATTATCAAATCCTCCTCCAATTGATTCTAATCTGTACAGCTTAAATTTCCATCATCTTCCAAGTTCAATCTTTTCCACTAAAGTTTCCACATCAAGAAGTCTTACTGTTTAAAAATGAGAAAAATTCATCCAACTGAAATGCAGAAAACACTGGGTCTTGATAAAACTCCATTCTATATCACTATTCCATGAACTTCTAACTCGAGTTATGCCAAAAGGCCTTTGTTGTGACTTGGGCCCAAGTTAAATGATACATATTTAGCTAAATGTGAATGTAATACATATGTCAATAAATACAGATAATAATTATTAATAATGACATGAAGTAAATGTAGTAAAAACAAAAATTACCTCATCTTCTTAGATTTACTACATCAATCCTTCTCATCTAAGAGAGGGGAGGTGGGATGGTAGATGGTGGGGTAGAGAGTGGTCCCAGAAATATATTAGAATCACCTGTGGAACTTTTTCAACCACTCTCCCCGCTGCCTTAAGATCTGGATACCCCTATCTACCCCATGAAAAGTTGCATTTGGGTGGAAGAAGCAGTCTTGTCTTAAAATGTTCAAAGGTGTGTAAACTATCGTTTCAAGTGGTGTCAGGGACTGATCTAGAAAATGTGTTTTTGTTGAGCTAACTAGGGTATTCCCTGGAAAAAATTGTTCAATTTTTTTGAACTCGGTAAGGCCCTTACATGCTAATTTCTAAAACAATTAAAGGATAATACACCGAATTAAAACAATTTCAGAAGAATTAAAAAAGCAATTTAAAAAGGACTAATGATTGAGTCAAAAAACAAAATTTAAAGATTATGATCTTACTTTCGGCTACTTGCTTTTACTCTGAGATGAACTCACATATAAAAGAATCATTTTCTCCCAAATCCATGGCTGAATTTTATGTTTAGTTTCCATCATCGCTTCAATTCCTGTTCTTGAGTTAGAGCTTAGCGAGTACAGAAGTTTTAAAATGGAATGAGTTTTAAAACTGGATCTCATATCCACCTTTGGAAATAAATTTGTAGAATCTGAATAGGGCTTTTAAAATTTTTAAATGAATCATGCCTTGTGCAAGTCTTTTTCAAAACAAATTTTCTGAAATCTTTTTACATTACTTTAAACACACCATCATACATTCAAGATTCAACGATACAACTATAACAGTGCTGTCAAATGCAGCCATCAAATATCCCCAAACCCACATTTCATTTTATTCTTGAGACAATATACATTACAAAGACTATTACAATATTTCAGTACATTAGACACAAGTGAAAAGGATTCCATAACAAAGCGTGTTTAAAAGCCAGTAGTGCACAGAAAAACAGTAAGAAACATAAAAGCACAAAGAAAAATGTCATTTTAAAGAGAGCTTGAAGTCCCTGCATCCTTTTTGCACTGCCATGCTGTGGCCTTCTTCATTCCAGGATGTGGGATGAGCAAAAAAAAACAAAATAAAAAACAAAAGAAACCTTTGGAAATGTGAAATGTGCATCACGTGTATCCATGATTATAATATAGTCCTGAAGAGATCAAGTAGGTTTGCATTGTAGGTATTTAAAGATTCTATTTGCTAGACAGTTCACTGCATGGTAACACGAGTCTAGCTTCCCTGAAATCAGCCTAATGCCCTGTCACAACCCATTTGGCTGTGGAAAACTTTGGGGAGGCCAGACTTTTCTATGATGCCGATCTTTGGGCCTTAGGCTAGTTAAAGATTTCTAATTCAGCTAGTGGTGGTCTTGCCCCTTTGCTTGGGGAAAAACAGCCGTGAGCCAGACTGTCCTACCAGTGAGCACAGGCTTTGGCAGAAAAAAACTCATTTTCTGCTCCCTAGTTTTTCTGCTTTGTGTGATGCATTCTGTTGGTGGGTTTTGACTTTTATTTTTTCAATAAAGATCTCTTGAGTCTATGTTTAATCAGACCACTCCAGGCTGGATGCACTGATCCAGTTTCCCAGCCACAGCTGGTTTCCTGGATACAGCAGGGTTGCAAACCTCCAAACTAAGGCTTCCAATTAGCCAGCGCCTGTGCCATGCTATGCCACTGCATGTAATGACAGAACAGGCTATCCATGGTGGTTCAAGCTTGTGCAAAAAGAACAACTTCACTCATCACTTTCCAATGCCATTACACATTGACCACAACTCGATGGTGGGTCCTCACACCACACAAACAAGAATGCCACAAAGCTCCGTCATCCAAACGCCCCTCATACCAGAAGCAGGCCACAGACACAGAGACCAGCTCATGGCCCTCTCCACACACATGAATGGCAAGAACAAAACAGGTATTTCAGAGATGCCCTCAAGGCACAGAGATCAAGAAGAAAGGTCAGAGGAGCTCAGCTCACCCGGTGCATTGAGAGACTGTAAGGAGGAATGCAAGCTCAGCTGGTGGGGTGAGGATCGGAAATCAAAGTAGGATCTCCCGGGGAAGCTGGGTTGTAGATTAAGGGTGGAGGAGAAAGGACTCATTCTACGGAGCGGCATTCTTTCCGAAGGCACTGGAAAAGGGGGTGTCTGTTCTTCTGAATCTGTGTCTAAACGTAAGATCAATGCAAACTGGAGATCAGAAATCTGCCACTTGCCTGTGCACAGTCTCCCAAGACCTGCCTCACCGATGCATCTGTACAAAGCCTCATCCAGCCCACAGGTGACACAGGCATTTGCTCATCCAAAGTGGCTTGGGACTGGGAGGGAATTCTCAGCAGGTCAGAACCCAAGACCAGAGGGCACTTTGAATGTCGCAGACAGTTGTTTCCATTTCCTCCCAATTTTTCGTAGTAGGGAAGGTATTCTGGAATGTTTCCTTTTAATTAAATATCTTTAGAGTTGAATTTCGAAATTTTAGAGGGAAATTTTACCCATCGATGACCAAGAGGAGATTAACACTTCACTTCCTTCGGCTGCCTGGGAAGTTACTAACCTGTCCAACAATGGCCTCTCAAAGGGTGTCGTCTATTTAGGAGATGATGATTTTTACCAATCCTGCACTGTTCCTTCCATATTTTTCCTTTTCTCCCTTAATATATTTCCCATTTCTAAATGGATAAGATGATTTTTCTATACCAGCGCACTCAAGACTTGCTCTTCGAATAGGAGAGGAAGAGAGGGCTGAGCAAGTAATCAGGGAAGGAGCACTTCTTCTATTTCTGAATTATGATCAGGCCCTAGGGACGCCACTTGAACATCTCTGGTTCTCTAATAATTAACCACCATGGGCAGCAGTGAGGGACGTTGGGGGCAAAAAAAAAAAAAAGAAAAAGTATTTTCAGATATTCAGGTCCGGCATGAAGATCACTATTATACCAGAATAACAACTTATCAATTGCTTGATCCAGTTTTAGAAAGGCCTGTGAGGTCGTTTTTCTAAATTACGAAAATTATTCCTTTCTCTTTTGTCAGTCAGTAACTGGTTCTTTGCAGTAGCGTGGCCTGATCAGAGATAGATGTTTTACTATTTGAGGCC